AACTTTCACGGAGACTGACAAAGTTTTAAATCAGGAGAAAAATGTTTGGTGTTGTCCACAATCATTTGAGTTATTTGTTCGTTTACTTAGATGTTGATTGCTCACTGTGGGCAGGCACTGGGGACATAGGGTGAGCAGGAAAGTCACACACAGCTACGTGGAGCCAGTGGTCCAGTAGATTCAGAGACAAGTGAGCATTGGTGATGAGGTGATGTGAAGGAGACATGATAGGAGAGGCGCTCGGGATCACAGGTGGCATGGGCACCCAGTTCAGACTTGGAGGATCAGAGGGACTTTCCAAGGGAGGCAGTGCTAAGCCAGGTCCCAGATGATAGGTGGGGGTGATATAGAGGAAGGAGTTGTGACAAGGAAAGGGCAGGTGTCAAGGCCAGAGGCGAGAGGGTGATGAGCTGGGGGAGAGGGGGGTAGAGGCTGAGGAGCCTCTTTTATCCTGAGTGCCCAGGGACAGTGAAGAGTTTCAGCCAGAATTTACCGACTAGGGTCAGCATCACATTTACAAAAGAAGATTCTAGCTCTAGGGGACTGAGACAAGGAGTCAGAGGTATCAGTAAGAAGGGTCTTCAATGTTTCTGAATTAGGGAGACTGAGCCTCAAGGTGTTCAGGAAAAAGAACTGACGAGCTGTGTGTGTGTGTGTGTGTGTGTGTGTCTGGGTGCAGGATATGTCACAGGACCGTGTCTAGAATGAATCCAGTGGTATCATTTATAGAGATGGAAAATGCAAGATGAAGGGATCAGGAAGGGGTCTGAAGAGATAGACAGTGGGCTTTGTTTGGAACATAAGGACATCGGGGTGTTTCTGTGACCTCCGAGTAAGGAGCAGAAGTGGATGGTGAGGACATCAATGAATGGTACTGGATGTTGAAATGCTTCCCACTGGGGGCTTAGGCTGTGTGTTTGGGCCTCTGTTGGTTTTCCATCCGGGCTTGTTAACTCAGTCATGGGGTTGAGGCTTTTACATTGCTCGGCTCTTAAGTCTCCACCTACCTCTCTTTAATCTTGGCCATCATTACAAAGGAGGGTGACTGATTTCAACAGACAATGATTCCAGGACCCCAGAGCCACAGCGGTAGGCAGAACTGGACCTCAGATCAGTCTTAAAAATGCTGCTGTTCAATATACTCACCCCTCTCATGGCTTTAGGGCCTCTTTTGGTATTTTCCTTCTCCTCAGCCTTTGCCTGTCCAGCTTGGGTGATATTTTTTCCCCCCAAATTCTATCCTTTATGATGAAATCGCTCCATCTTTTTGATTATATTAGTTTCCCTTCTCTGGACCTGATTATTATTCTGGCCTCATTGCTCACTAAATGTGAGGGCCCTCTCTACTTGGGAGGAATCTCTCTGATTCAATTGGATGCAGCCTCTTCAGCTATGTTAAGGTAAGAAGCAGTGATTCAGTCAGGCAAACGGGCATGTTTCCAAAGATGGAGAGTTTCAAGGAAGTCATCAGGCTCAGCAGATCAGAAATCATCGTTCTGGATAAATAAGCATTTTGATACATTCTGAAAAACATTCTGTTTCATGGACTCCTTGCTGCTTTAAGCTTTGAAACTTTACGTGCACAGCAGCCTGGGCTCAGCTGGCTTGGGTTCAGATATTTCTGTAAGGCTGACCTAATAATCCCCTTATGGGTTTCTCGTTGGAACAAAGTGTCTGAAGCTGCCAGATACAGCCAAAATCAGGCAGTCCAAGCTGAGTTTGAATCCTAGTTCCATCACCTACTAGCTGGGAGGTGTGGAGAATTTGCTTAACCTCTCTGGGCCTCAGTTTCCTCATCATGAAAGGTAGGTATTAATACTTTATAGGATTTTGTTGTGGAAAAATTAATAAATATGCCATATGAAAAGGGTCTGGAAGGAATTTTGCTGAGCATAACACTGTCCACCATGACAGCCACGATGCATAGCTCTTGATCACTTGAATGCAACTACTGTGAATGAGGTGTGCTGCTGATTATATGTGCTGTTAATGCACCTCAGACTCCAGAGGCTTAGTACATAAAACAAAGGATGTCAAGGGTATAAAATAGTTCACCAGTAGCTGTTTATATTAATGACATGTTAAAATGTGAACATTTTGGAGAATGTTGGGTTAAATAAGATCAATTTTATTTTGATCACACTGGGATTAAGTATTGAAATGCATCTCACCTGTTTCATGTTTCCTTTTTAATGTGGCTACTGGAAAATTTAATACTCTCTTTATGGCTTGAGTGCTGCCTCTGCGGTCAATGTGGGATTATCCTGAAGGGTGTCTAACATTCACAGCTTGGGTCAAAGGCTCTCCTTAGCTGGTCTCTGCTCCAGTCTCTTGCCCCTCTGAGGCCACAGGTTCTCCCACAGTTCCCAATCTGCATTCCACCAGTGGCTGCCCTCCTCTTCCCTGACTCTTCCTGAGCTCACACCATGCTGCACCATTATGAACTGAGAACTCACTGTGTCTTCAGTGATTCATTCAACAAATGGTTTTTGATACTTAACTGTCAGCAGGCGGTGTTCTAGCCATTGGGGAAGTAGCAGCGGACAAGACAAAGGCCCTGATCTATAGTGGGTTCCTCTGCTTGGAATGAATATCTTCTCACTTTCCTTCAGAGTCACCTCTCTAGGAAATTTCTCTTGACAACATATCTTCCCACCCTCTGCTTGAGCGTCCATAGATCCTATTTTCATTTTCATCATAGCATTTATCACATTTTACATTGTGTTGATATTTTAAAATCAAATCATTTGAGGTAATGCAGTTTTAAGAGATAACACAGAGAGTCATGTACCCAGCATCCAGTTTTCCTTAATGATAACATCTTGTAAACTATAGTACAATATCACAACCAGGCTCTTGACATTGATACAATTTCTGGTCTTTTTCAGATGTCCTGTTTTACTTGTATTTGTGTGTGTACATTTATCTCTGTACATTTTTGTTTTATGTTTCCTTCATGTATCCATCACCATAGTCCAGAGAACACTTCCATCATCACAAAAATCCTCATGTTGCCCTTTCATAACCATGCCCCATCCCTCAGGACTCCAGCCCTCCTTAATCCTGAGCAAACACTAGTTTGTTCTTCATTTGTTTGTCATTTCAAGAATTTACAATAATGGAGTCACATAGTATGTAACCTTTCAGGATTAGTTTTTTAAACTCAGCATAACTCCTGAGACATTCATCTATTTTTTTTTTTCCTTTGGTGATAACTGGGGATTGAACTCAGGACCTGTGCATGCTAGGCAAGGGCTCTACCATTGGGCTAAACCCACAGTCCACGTTCATCTAAATTGTTGTGTGTTCTTTCCCTTTTATTGGTGAGTAGTGTCCCATGGCATGGGTGCACCACAGTTTGCTTAACCATTCACCTGCTGAAGGATACCTGAGCAGTATCTAGGTTTGGGCTTTTATGAATAAAGTTGCTTTGAATGAGGAGAGGTGTTCTTTTTTTTTTTTTCCTTCATGTGGACCTAAGTTTCCATTTCTCTGGGATAAATGACCAAGAATGCAATTTCTTAGTCATATGCATGCTGATTTATTTATCATCTTTACTAGGTATTGGCTCTTTGAGGTTGGGTTCTTAGCTCTATGCATATTTACATCATATCTAATTGTTATGTATGTGGCATATGGAAAGACTCAATGAAATGATCAATAATATATGGAAGGATGGAAAAAAGGAAGGAAGAAGAGAGAAAGAAACAAAATCTATGATTACTGTTAATTAGCTCTTCCCACCCTCAAGCTGTCCAACATCATTATCTTTCAATTTTTTCTTATGAACCCATTGACCCTAGAACAATACAGTGCCTTGCACACAGTAGTTGCTTAATATGTATTTATTAAATGATGTAACGAATACTCTGGAGAGTGGACCAGCTCTTCTTTCCTCTTCTCCCTCTTCCCACCACCCTACTCCATCACCTGTGCTCAGCAATGGGCACAAACAGACACGTATGCATACTCTGGGGCCTCGATCCCAGGACTTTTCGGGAACAAACTCAATAGCTAACATATGGAGTGCTGTTGCTTCAAAGCTTGCTAACAACAACTTTGGCCTTGTCTGTGTGACTACTTGGGGAGTTACAAATGAGGGGTTTGGGGACCCAGCAGCTTTGCAGACGCATTCCAATGAGAATACAGGATGCACTTGAAATGAAGAATGCTTCTTTGTGACTCATTAAACTCCTCTCTGTTCTTCTCTATTAGGCATGTGTCTGCCATGCCCTGCAAATCTATGACACTCCAAAGTGGAAGAGTCAGGCGGAAATAAAAACATTTCACTTCAGCGCCTAAACCATGTGCCCTTTAATTTGCAATAAATCTGTGACAACCGACAGATACTTCTTTCAGACACTCGTGGAGAAAGGCTTGACTTGTCCTAGTAAATCAGACACAGGCTTCATTATTTTTAGTCTCGTTGAAAAAATGTTACCATGGAAACAACACCATCATCTAGGGCAAATGTTATCTCTTTAAGTCAATAACACGAGGAACTGAGCCAAAAATACCTAGTGCTTTCAGAGGAAGAAATGGCTTTCCAATAAGATTAATTTCTTTTGCGTCTTCACCATTCATCTTCATTTGCAAACCCAGAAGTTTTCTTCCCCTGTAAATAAGAGATATTAAAAGCAATGTACAACTCTGCAAGATCCAAGGCTGACCTTTCTTGTACCTGTTTGAAGAAAATCATTAGTTCTATTAGTTCCTTGAAACTTGTAGCTTTGCTTGTGGCTTTTAATTCACCCACAGGAGGCATAATGGTAATGAATTTGACCCTTGGGCAGAGCATTGGGCTTTCTGAGAGGAAAATGGGGAAAGCTACCTTGGAGCAGGAGCAGCTTTCTGTGCTCTTAAGGGACCATTTTAAGGGAAGCAGCAAACAACTTATTTCCTCTGGGCCTTCCCTTGGTGCCTGCAGAACATGGGGGTGGAGTGCTCAGTAAGTGTTGGTGGCTTAGTCAGTTGGACCCCATATTTAGTCAAAACTGAAATTCTTTGTTAGTATTTGTGAAGATTTATTACTATATTGAATTTTGCAACTATGATAAATTTGCACCCCACCCCCAAAGTATAAAAAATTTGGACCTTAAAAATTAAATCTAATCCTTCAAGCTTTTTCTCCTACCAAAAATCATGTTAATTTTAGTGTCAGATCAAAGCACCACAGATTGAGTGGGGGAAGCAAGTTGGGACACCCTTGGCCTTGTTTTGGAGTGCTGCTGAGGTCTTACAGTCCCCAACCACTTTGTGTCCCCTGTTCTCAGACTTACATTTCTCCCCACATCTAATACCATTGAAATCAGGGTAATAACTGTTGGTGTGATCAAACTTTCTATTGGCAGCTTTTGATTTCTTATAATGGTGGTGCAGTTCCTGGGAAGGAAAGAGACGCACCTGTGTACTACTGATCGAGCACTGGGATGTGCACGTGACCCCTGCCAAGGAGGTGTTTTAATGTGTGGGAAGCTGAGGCTCAGAAAGGTTACAAGACTTGTCTAAGATAGCAAGTTGGTAATTGGCAGAGTCAAGATTTGAACCCAAATTGGATGACTTTATTGTAGTCAAATGACCCCTCAGATTTTCCATCTGATTTGCCCTCAGCTTCTTCTGTTCATAAAAGAGTTTACAAATCCTTAAATTTGGGGGCTGGGAAGCACCTTATAAGTCGTAGGGTTCAACCAGCCATGTTACAGATGAGGAAAGTGAGGCTGAGAGAAGCAACTCACCAAAGGTAAAGGAAGTCGTGCCACTGAGAATCAGCACGGCTGGGCCAGGAACAGGAGATTTTTCAAGCTCTTTCAATGCCTCCATCCCCAGGACACAGTGAGGCCCCTGGGGACTAGGTTCAGGTGCTCAGCCACTCCTTCTGACATTCTGCTCATTCCTCCTCTGTTGTCCTGTTCCCCCAGACCTCAAGATGATTGCTTACAACAACCCCTCTCTATTAGTCCATTTCTTGTTGCCAATAACACAATACCATAGGGTAAGTGAATTATTAAAATAATAATAATAATAATAATACTTTGGCTTCCAGTTCTGGAGATGCAAATTCAAGAGGCTGTATCTGGTAATGGTCTTCTTTTTGTCAGAATCCCATGGTGACACAGGACATCACATGACAAGAGATGGGGAATGTACATGCAGATGTGTGTCCTCTGGTTTCTCTCTCTCTCATAAAGCCACTAGAATTCAATCATGGGGGCTCCACTCATATCTCATCCGATCACCTCCTGAAGGCCTCATCTCTAAACACTTGAGTCAGATTAAGTTTTTACCCTCTTAATATCTCACAATGGGGATTACATTTTAATGCCTGAACTAGTGGGGGCCATATATTCAAACTATATCCAAGCCATAGTACCACTTCTTCCCTTTCTTTACCCCTAGTTAACTTGTGTCTTCTGATTTGTCCTCCAAGGTGATAATGAATCCATGTGAAGATGATCATGGAGCTCAGTGAGGGAGGCTTCTCCCCAGCCTGTGCTTGGAGATGTTATATCTTTGCTACCTCAAGAAAGCAAAAAGCTTAGTATAACTGGAAAGGTGGCAGGTGCACAGACCATGGTACCGAGATATCCTGTAGGAATCGGGGCCCTAAGAAGCCTTTGCAGTCATGCTGCCACCTCTCACTTTGCCTGTGGAGGGGTGCATGGCACGGCAGAGGGCAAGGATTGCAAAAGGTGGCATCCATACACCACTGCCCTTTTCTGCAGCCATAATGCGTCTGAGAAGCCACTGTTCTCTGCCTGCAGAATGATTTCAGTCACCTTCTTGATGCAGTGCTCCAGACAGATACTTGGATTGACAGTAGTTGGTTACAGAGATGAAATAAACCCAGTTGCTTTCCCCAGTGTTGTTGAAGGCTTTGGAAGTAGGCAGGTTACAAGATGACCGAGTCTCTACTTCTCCCAATGTAAAAAGGAGAAATTATAATTGACTTACACAAATTTTTGGAAGGTGTAGAGATACCGTGTATAAGAGCACAGCAGACTGCTGGTGCCTGGTAGGGAACAGATGCTCATTATTGTAAGGTTAATGCTGATGGGGCAGAAGGCAAGGATGCCAGAGCTCTGCTTTGTAAGGCGGCTGGGAATGGTGAAAGGAAGCTGCTCTTGACCTCTCTTTGTTGCCTGTCTTTATTTTGTGATATGCAGACCTAAGTACATATGTTTCAGGTCTAAGAGGCTTGAGTAGCTCTCTTCGAAATGGTTCTCAATGTGCAGCTAACTCTTTGCCTAGCAAGACAGGGAGATCACACCATGCAGCAGTCTGTCCCCATGGTGCCCCATGTATGCTACTCACAGAAAGTCCTTTATTTCAAGCCTAATTCCACTGTTTTTAAAATACATATGGTAATCAGATTCTGGAGACAGGGCGGTACATTGATGAACTCACTGAGTGTTGCTATATGTTTTGAAAATCCAAAACTTATATGAATACATTTACTTAAGGAATAACTTTCTTTGCAAAAAATAGAGATGCTTTAACTTCTGTTTAGTTTCATTAGTTATTTAATATGCATATTAAATGTCTTTGACTATGTCATGATTTACTATGATATGAAAACTCCTAAGGACATAGATGATGTCTGCTTCATTGACTTTTTAGAGCAACCAGAAAAATGCCACAAACAAGTAGATTTTTAATCCATTTGCATGTTTTTGTTGCAGATTGGAATATAAACTACGTTCTATACTCACAAAAATTATTCCATTCTTATTTTAACCTTTTAAGACCAGAAATCTAATGGCACATTTCCAGTAGAGCAATACGTACAGTACAAACACATAAACATTGCTTTATTTTAAGTTAAAAATATTAATACTAATTGATTTTCTATAGTAAAAATCTTGCCAATGTAGAAAATGTGAAAACTACTAAAAAGTATATGGAAAAAAATGAAAATTCATATTTTTTCCTATATGAGTCATTTAAAAATGTTATTAATAATATCTACTACTTAACTAATTTTAAGGCTTTCAAAAATTGTTCTCACTGTGATTTTCATCTTCCAGTTAGGTTCCCATGTTCTTTCCAGAAAGCATTAATGTTTTGTTATTTTTCAAAGTATTGAAGCACATGGTAAATTCAAGGAAAAAGTTTGCCATGAGCTGCTGGTAATTTCTCCCTGCTTTAAAGGAAACTTTGAAAAGTTACCATGAAGGAAAAGTTAATCCATCATGTCCCGCTGCATTTGTTCTCTCAAAACCAGGTGAACTACCTCTGACTCTTTCCCTAGGATTATGTCACCCACCAGGGCAACTTTCTGTTTCAGTAGGTGATGTGAAGAAACAAAACAACACCCTTTAAGTTAATCAGTTTTGGAAAATAGAGACTGGCTTTATATTCCATGGCTTTGATGTGCTTAGTAGTTCCTGTAAGGATCTGCCTCTCTTTTGTTGTGATTGACAAGACCTTTCCTATATATATGAGCCACTAAGCAGCCCAGTAACAGAGGGGAGAGACATTTACCCAGAGCTAACTTCACCACTCATTACAACTTTCTAAAACCTTGGGTACAAGTGTCACCTCTAAGTGTCAGAAGAGTTGGCTCCAGCAAGATCAGGTAAGGGCCTCTCCACTTTGAGATTTCATTCCTCCCAACGGGAAGCCTAGAGAAACTACATGGTGACAGGTGGGATCTGGAAGAACAGATTTGGAAATGCATTCCATTTTAAGCAATAGGACGTGGGGGAATTCTGTAAATGGCTTTTCTACCCTCAGTTTAACATCCACATAGGTCTGTCTTATGGGCCAAGCATGAAGGGCCCCTTCTGGTTACTAGACCACAGAAAGCTATCCTAGTCTATCCTAGAGGATCATTCAGATATCCTATCCAGAGAGGATAGACTTGACAGCAGATTGGGATCATTTTTAAATACTCCAATGCTTTCTGCATTTGAATTAATTTGAACCACAATGAGGTGCTTATTAGAGCAGAAGCATAGAGCAGAGGCAATTTGTTGCCAAGTAGGACACATTTTTATGTTTTTATTTTATTTTTATCAAGACAGGTGCCTGGTTTCATAAAATCTTCTGCATATCCACGTTGTGTGATGGATTGAGTTAGTAACAACATGTGCAGGGCCTACTTTTATTACTTATCTATTTCCCAATCATTCCCCATGCATGACACCAAAATTAAAATTTTGATCAAAGCATATAGCATGGGACCCAAATACCCTGGACCATCATAAAAATAACTTACATGTATTCATGTATTATGTCAAGATATGCAATTCCTTTGTTGTTATTCATGTTTGGTGTTCATTTTGAAGAAACAAATTTCTTTAACATACAAGTCAACTCCAGCACTTGGGTTGCAGTAAGGAAAAGTCTTAGAATGCATGTCTAGGATTGGATATCCAGAAAGGTCCAGGGAATCTATACTGACTCTGTTACAGAGAACTCTGGGCACCTGTCTTGGAGTCTGTAGGTACTTACTATTTCTTGGCCCATTTTCCCTGAAATGCTAAGAGCAAGGTCCCTTTGATAGCAGCCAACGTGTTTGTGACTACCCCTTGGAGGGCAGCTGGATTTGTTAAACTTGATTTCTTTTCCTCTCGGGAGGAACAGCATGAAGCTGGCATACCTGTTCCTTGGTGCCACAGCCCTCCTGCTCCTCTGTGGCTGTGGCTCTGTCCTCAGCACCTCCAGTGGGGACCTGCGTACCTTTGTGGGCTGTGCTGTGAGGGAATTTACTTTCCTGGCCAAGAAGCCGGGCTGCAGGGGCCTTCGGATCACCACGGATGCCTGCTGGGGTCGCTGTGAGACCTGGGAGGTAAGTGGCTCAGCTAGTGACCGCTCAGGCCCGATTCTAAAACAGTGTTCCCCGTTTCAGTAATTGGAGGTAGAACCGGGTCATCTGCCCTCTCCTTACAGCATCTTGTAAAGCTGATCAGGAAAGCATGATGTCGCCCCCGTAACACAGCATTGATAAGATTCATAGCTTTATTTGTGGTCTCAGGGAAGTAAAAATGTGCTCCTATTTCACCCATTTTACAAATCACAAGGAAGGATTGAAGGGATGAGAGGCTCCGAAGTCATGAGGAGAGTCACCGCAGGTTGGGAATAAATTCTTGTCTCCAGCCTGTGACCCAGTCTCCTTCCTGTATTCCTTCATTTATGATAAAATCAGCCATCTGCCACGAAAGAGGCCCTAAGCTGTGGGGCAGGTGAGGGCTGGTCCTAGGCCTCTCCTTCAGTGCTGCCTCTGTAGCCCTGCTCCCCTCAGTTCCCTGGGGCCCTCAGGGATCATCATAGACACATCTATGAAGCCCCTTTATATTCAATTAGAACTGGCCTTTCAATTCAAATGGGGATAAAAATCTCAAACAAAGTTAAAATCCTACTGGACTCAGACGAGGAGCTGGTTAAAGGGATGAAGAGAAGAGAGCTATCGAGCACCCACCAAATCACACCACACAGTGATTAGCTGACTCTTCTAAACAAGGCCCACGTTGGCAACTGAAGGAGTACCAGCTCTGATCTTGTCACCCCCAGCTCTGAAGCTTTAATGACCACCCCCTGCTGTCAATTCAGTCACCAACTTTCAAGGTCCAGCAATATGGCATCTGCTTGCTTTCCCAGAGACTTCATGTATTCTTAGGTTTGGCTTTGTCAGGCTGATTTTTAAATGTTTTATTAAACAACCCTCATAAAATCTCATCTTGATCTTTTTCTCATATCCCATCTCATTTCCAACTGTCATATTATCATATTTATTCCTCAGTGCTGAACTCTAGTGCCAACTTCTTCTCTGAGCCTTGTCTGGCTCCGTGGCAATTCCTTGACTATATTCTACCTTTTGTTTGACTTCCTCCCCCACCACACACATGATTTTAAGTGTTTTTGAGGACAGAAGTTCATGGTTGCAACTTTCATAGCTTTGCCAAAGTACCATGCATGGGTGAGGTATTCAATAAATATTTCTTGATCAGAAAGGACTGACCTCTTCCTAGAGGTGTCTGTCCTCTGGTCTAATGGAAGTCAGCTTTGAAGCATGTGAGCACCACCCAAGGACTCTTCCTTTAGGAAAAAACAGGCATTTTTCAGGGATTCAGAGAGCAAACTGCTATTGCTTAAATAAAATTATGACCCTTTGAATGGAATCAGGTTATGATGCAGAAATCTACAAATTAAATGAAACTACCCCATCAAATTGGTTTCATCTTTACATCATTCAGGAGCTTAAGACCTAATAGCCAAGTGAAACTCAGTTTTTCTTAGTAACTGTTGCCATCAAATGAACTCAGGGAACTTGGGCACCTTCTCATGTGCAGGGCTTGGCTTGACAGTGCCACCTTTGGATCACTGCTTGTCCCTGGGCTAGTGGCAGCTCTTTGTGTACCATATCCTCAGACTCCTGTTTCTCTGCATTCAACCCATCTTCTCTTCTCTCACATGTTGGCAACTGTCTTTAGCTGGATCATGGTCACCCCCAGGAGGTCGGGGACTGTGCTCTCACTGGAGAAATGGAAGCACCAAGACAAAGAAAGGAGAGTGTCCCTAATTTTAGCTAACTTTTGTTTGTGCCTTTACTGTGTTAGGAAAATGGAGGTTACCTAGGGAAATAAATACAGATATGAGATTCATTTTCCTAGCAACCGGAGGTTTCTGAGATTAAAAGCACTGTTTGTTTGTTGTTTGGTTTTTAATAGCCGTATTGGGAACATGTCTGAATTTAAGGATGTTCATGATAGCAAAGTGACTGAACTTGCTTTTGAAGTGAAGCTATTGCTGCAAATAGTGATTTCTTTTGACCTGGGTTTAGAATTGCCCGATTTAGCAAAAGGAAAGCAAAACAAAACCAAAATCCAAAAAATGAATCAACTAAACCAAAATACTCACCGATTTCTACCCACCCCCCAAACAATCCCCAAACCCCAGAGTGAAACCAACCAAACAAACAAACACAAAAAAAAAAAAACCAGGAAACCCAGATAAATTTGAATTTCAGATAAAACAACAAATACTATTTTTAGCATAAGTTTGTCCCAAATATTGCTTGGGAAGATTTATACTAAAGTATTAATTATCTGATATACAAATGTAGCTGAGTGTCTGGTCTGCCCATGTTCCTAGAATACTGAGGGTAAGAGGACACAGAGTAAATGGAAGAAGGTAGGAGAAAATGGCCCAGGACAAATTTAGCTCTTCTACATGATCATTGTTGAAGGCAAGGTTGTTATTTTCATCATCATGCAAGGACTTCATCTTGGGTATCTATCATCTGTGTATCCATCATCAATCTATATACTCATCCATCTATTCATCCATTCACTTACCTTTTTTGCCTAGAACAAGTGAAGACACTGTCCTTTGACAGATTGTTATCATTTTTGCCATGACTTCTAATGACAGAGTGCATTTATGGAACACTTATCTGTGCTAGGTACATATCATCTCACCTTATCTCTACAACAGTCCCATGAGGCGGATGTCTTGTTTCACAGATAGGAACGCTGGGACTTCAAGGAGTTTAGTTGAAACTCAACAAGTTGTAGATCTGGCAATCAAGCTTGACAGGTCTGCCTACATGACTCAAGATTTTTTCCCCTTGACTTTTTTTTCCCCATGCATACACACACACACACATACACACACACACCCATACACACACACACACATTTTCATCCTGTGACACTGGGGATTGAACCCTGGGCCTTGTGCATGCTACACATGCACTCTACCACTGAGCCACACCCCTAGCCCTTTTTGTTTTATTTTGGAATAGGAGGTATCGCTAAATTGCCTGTGTTAGCCTTGAACTTTTGATCTTCCTGCTTTAGCTTCTTGAATAGAAGAGGACCATATTTGGTTTTGGTGTATTATAATTATAACTATACATAATAGTGCTACTACTTGTTACATATTTGTACATGCACACGATGTAAGGGTTGGAGATTTTTAACTACTACCTTGTACTGAGTTTTCTCTGGCCCATATGCTCTGTTGATCAAAATTGTCTTTGAATTCAAGGTTAATACAAGGTGAAGGAAGGAAGTGAGTCCTTTGCTTATCAGAGTGGCCCAGAGAACATTCAGGAAACTGCCTGGCATTCTTCTTTTGCTGACTCTATAACAGTTAGGAGAACCTCCCAGGTACCTGCCTACGTACCATAGGGAGCAAATAGGCAGGAATACCTATCCTAAGAGAGCCTACTCTCTAGAGCAGGAGAAATGTCACACAAAGGAATAAAATACCTGAGATGTCATGTAAGGAGAAAAAGCAGGAAGGGGAAGAGGAAGCTCTAGGGTGTGGAGGGGGGATGTTACAGTTTTAAATAGCATGGTCAGGAAAGGCTTCCCTGAGAGGGTGGCATTTGAACAAAACCCCAAGGAGCAAATCCTATGGCAGAATGTTCCAGACAGAGGGAAGAGCAAATGCAAAGACCCTCACTGGGACTGTTCCTGGTTGGATTGGGGAATGATAGAGCCCCCTGTGGCTGGAGCCTAGTGAGGAAGCCAGCAAGGTGGGACTGTCACAGAAGGTGTAGGGAAGACTGATGTAGGAGCTGGCAGGAGATCACAGTTCTCTGGCTTTTACTAACTGAGATGGGAAGTGAGTGGGGCTTTGAGTGGGCGGGTGTGGGGTGTGAGGCCATGTGTGATGTTTCAGGAGGATCACTTGGGTGCTGTTACAGGGTTATATGGAAGAAGGGACACTTTGTTAGCAGGTATACATTGGCCAAGAGTATTCATTTGCTAAATATTCACCTAGCACTTCCTGTGTGCTGTAGATTCTTCCAGGAGCTCAGGATATGGCAGTGAACAAAATCGGCTTCCTGCTTTCAGGAGTTTTCTTTGTACGGGGAGGAGGGAGAACAATAAGTAAACAAATAAAAACCAAGCTGATGTCTGGTAATGACAGGAAATGAAATAGGATGGTATGTTTATGGGTTCTCTCTTTTCTCCCTATGGGGACAGAAACCCATTCTGGAACCCCCCTACATTGAAGCCTATCATCGCGTCTGTACCTACAACGAGACCAAGCAGGTGACCGTCAAGCTGCCTAACTGTGCCCCTGGAGTTGACCCCTTCTACACCTACCCTGTGGCCGTCCGCTGTGACTGCGGGGCCTGCTCCACTGCCACCACGGAGTGTGAGACCATCTGAAGCTACGAGGTCTGCAGGACGCAGCTGGTGGCCTCAAGCCTCACAGACCTACCTGCATGGGTGACCCAGGCAGCTCTACCCCTGGCTTCATTCAAGGACTGTTTAATCTGACCATACCTGTGGAGGTGGTCACCTGTCTCCCTTAGCTTAGGCACAAGGCCTGGATGCAGTATACTTACATTGAAAATGCAAAACAATATTTGTTCCTTTACCAGAATTGATTTCTCTAGTTCATATACCTACAAATTAGTTTTTCTTTGCCTTGAGTCTTGGAACATAGTTTGTATATCACAATCATCTTCCGATTTGGGCTGATAACATGGCATTGACTTAAATGCATTGGATAGAATTGGGAAATGGGGCTGTAAAGTCTTTTAAAAGTCTTATGTTCTGTTTAACCACTGACCTTTGACTAGATTTAGGAAGAAAGGGCTAGAAGTTATCAAAACCAATGCACTCACTAGTCTTCACTACCCAAAAAGAAAGTTTCCTTAGAGAAAAATGTTCCAATTCATTTTTAAATGAGCAATTATCTACCCAGGAAACAGACTGCTCAGATTGATAAATAGCAGGGAATTGATCAAGAGAAGAGCTCAAAGAAGGTTGGATTTGGCTTATTCTTTTCCCCAGAAACATTCCTTAAGTTCCTGTAAGATCCTTACTATAAAGAGCCTACTTTGTGATTTAAAAAAAATCTAGAAAAATATGTAGCTAGAAGCTATCATTTAGGTATAAGAACTTCTGAAACTCATGTTTTTGGATGTGATGTTCTCCCAAAGCTGTGGTGAAATGGTCATTTACAAATATTCTTCCTTCCTTAGCACATTTTAAATTTAAATTGTAACTTATTAAATTCAGAAATTTTACATTTGTAGGGGTAAAAACTGCACTGTGGGCTCAGACGAGAAAAGTCTATGATTGTCTAGCTCTTGCCTTCACCAAAATCTTAATGCAGCTGGTTCTGTGACTTTTCTTAAACTCCAATTTTATTCAAATGTCTTTCATTCTGTCATTTTGGGGGTTGAATTTAACCTTGTTCACTTTTCATAATATGCTGAGAAAATCGATATTAATGCCAATAAAGTGCATTCTCTGTCTTTTGAATTCATACAAATTTTCAGTAAAAGTCTTTTTAGTCTTAACTCTGCTTGCTCTAACATTACAAAGAATGCTTCGAAGGAACTATGAGGTTTTTCACTGAAGTGTTAATTTCGGATTTCATGGTCAGTTAGGGGCACAGAGAGATGACTCTGGGTATGCCAAAGGTAGTATAATATGCAGCCCTGGAACACAGTGCTCTGGTTTCCATTGTAGCCCTTTAAGCCATGAGTCTTCTCGAAAGAAGAACCAATGAATCCCCATGAAAAACACAGTGGAGCAAATGTTGAGATTGATGGTCAAGCACCAGGATGTGGGAGTGAATGTCTGAGAACAAAGGGCTCATGCACAATTCACCCCAACCCTTTTTGGTAGGAAAGGAAGTCACTACATAAAGAGGAGTCCAGCCGGGTGCGGTGGTGCACACCTGTAATCCCAGCAACTCAGGAGGCTGGGGCAGGAGGATCACAAGTTCAAAGCCAGCCTCAGCAACTTAGGGAGGCCCTAAACAACTAAGTAAAATACAAAAAAAGTGAGACCCTGTCTCTAAGTAAAATACAAAAAAGGGCTGGAGATGTGGCTCAGTGGTTGAGTGCCCCGAGTTCAATCCCTGGTATCCGTCCCCCACGGTCCCCTGCCATAAAAGGGAGTCTAGTGCTGTGGTCCTTGCTGGGACCATGGGTGATGATTGGAGCAACATGGGATGGCACCACTCAAGTGTTTTCAATCCGTCTCTCGGAACCTCCTTTAGGATTTTCTGAATCTTGTCAGAAATTGAGAAAAGATGATTGCAGCATCGGTGAGTGTCCTGGAGGACATATGCATGGGATGTGCAGGAGAATTTAATGAAGAGGCTGTTTATCAGTGTGTGGGCAGAGTAAGGGAACCACAGCAGGGCGAGGCACTTGTGGCTTGGAGGAAGCACTGGACAACCCTAGGCTGAAGGAATGAGAGAAGGAGCGGTGATCATACTCTAGGGAGAATGACAGAGAGGGACCCCTGATATAATATGAGACTTTTTTTTTTTTGGTTTTCTATTTTTTATTGGTGCACTCTGATTATACAAAATAGTGAGACTCGTTGTAGCCTGTGTGTCCATGTACACAAGACAATTGCAGGTCATTGCAGACTCACCTTGCTTGGGGACCATAAAGGGCCCCTATTTGAGGAGGGTGTTTTTCATGATGACATTTGCCCTTCTCAAATGCTGCCCCCTTTTCCCTACTTTCCCCACCCCCATTCCTTCCTGGACTCTACTTATCTCTTTTCTATTTTCCTGAGGTCCCTTTTATTCCCCTTTTTCTCTCCAGTGGAAGCATCTTTTCTCAAATTCTGAACAGCCTCAGAAAATCCTAAAGAAGGTTCCTAGAGATGGGTTGAACTTGAGTGGTGCCATCCCATATAAGAGAAAGCATATGACCCTTGAATTTCTGAGTCTAACTTATTTGCTTAACATAATCCTCTTCCATTCCATCCACTTTCCTGCAAATGGCATAATTTTGTTCTTTTTTAGGTCTACGTAAGTTTTGTGTATGTATCCCACATTTTCTTTTGCATTCATCTGTTGATGGATGTCTAGGTTGGTTTCATAGTTTGGCTATTGTGAACTGCACAGCTATAAATGGACATATGTATACATTGCTATAATATACTGATTTTAATTCTTTTGGATTAATACTAAGGAGTAGTAAAGCTGGATCATACGGCGGTTTCATGCCTTGTCTTTTGAGGACCCTCCATACTGATTTCCTTAGTGGTTGTATTAACTTACAGTCCCACTAACAGTGTGTAAGCTTGTTTTCTCCTACAACCTCACCAGCATTTATTATTTGTATCCTTCATTATTATGGCTCATTTATTAAAAAGACTGAATCTGCCACCCTGGAAGATCTCCTGCACTTATCACATAGTCCTAGTAGGGAAGGAAAGGTGCCCAGAGACCTGGAATGGGGACAGCTAGGTGGATGTGTTGAGGTTTCCTTGTGGAAGGGGCTCACCTGCTCTTCCTTGGAGACCATAAGGGTCCCCCATCTGAGGAAGATGTTTTAGGAGGTGATGCCTGCCCTTCTCAAAAACTGTCTACGGTCCCCGCTGTTCCAGATGAATAATTAGCGTCTAGTCTCAGGACGATCGGGCTGGGGAAAGGCTCGCCTTGTGAGGAAAGAAGGAGCTTCTCCACAGAAGGAGCATCAGGATGTCACAGTGTAACCAGGAGGAATTGGCCGATGTCCTTGATCTTGGATCTTGAGAGTGCACCATGGGGATTGAGGAGGAGGTGGCACAGTATGTGGCTGGATGAGAGGAGTTTACCCGTATGGGGGTGCCCTCAGCATTTCCCATCATTGGAAGGTTGCAGGATCTCGTCCCAATGTGCCATTGGGATGGGTCCTTCAAGCCTGGGGAAATGGTGGCTGGCATTAATGAGGATGTCTGAACTGTCCTGGAAGAGTATTGGGGAACAGAAGGGTGTCTGCTGGAATGGATTTACTGCAGCTGGCCATGTTCACCAGGAAGGTTCAGAGAACTCGCCCTTCAGTAGAACAGAAGGAACGTCCCAGTGGGGGCGCTGCATTGGAGGGCAGTCCCCTGGTGGCTCTTCTCTGTAGCCTGGGGCTGGTGCTGGGGAAGCTGCTAGGGAACTGGGCTTCCTGGTGTGGGCAGAGGTGATGGGGTTCTGGGATAGCAGAGACCACGGGTGACAAGTGGCCGTAGGAGGTAAAGTGGACCTAATTGCTGTAGCAGGCAGCAGGGCTACAATGCAAACCAGAGCTCTGTGACCTGCAGGCTGCGTGGTCCGTGGTGCTCCTAGTCTGTGCCATTCAAAAAACTTTGATAGTAAATATGCTTCGTAACCAGAAAAGTTATTAATGAAAAAAGAGGAAAATATCTGTCAGGATGTATATGAGTGCTAGACTTGAATGTCTTTCAAAGGCCTTCTTCCCTCTTTGTTTCTTCTTTCTGCTTTCCCTTCTACAACTTCCTCTCATTTCTGCAAATATTTATTAAGTCTAATTTTGTGCAAAGCACTGGAAAATAAAGATATAAATATCATTATTATTTATGGAACCCCTACTGTAAGCAGGACCCTTTATACTAATTCTTCTTTATTCTCTGTCAACCATACTAGTAAACACTGTTATTTTATTTACCATTTTATGGAGGATGAAACCAAAGCCCAGAGAGGTCAAGTAACTTGCTCAAAGTAACACAGCTAAACACTAGCACATGTCAGGTTTCTCTGACCAAGAACCAAACCTTTTCCACTACAGCCCGATGGGTTTTTTGGAATGCTTCTTCCAAGTCATTCCTGCTTGGAGAAGTCTTGGAATGTATTGATGTTCGAGGATCTCACACCATTGATCAGCATTTATTCAGTCCTTCCTGGAGGTGGCTCAAGGCAAGGTTGGGTTGTTCTATGAGGATTGGAATTTTTCTCTGGTTTCTTCTATAACCTCTAGGAAGATGCTGTTTTGCTGAATGCAAATCAAATGTTACAACAGAAGGCAATGAGCACAGAAGCAGAGACTCAAGGGGGACTCAGAGACGAGGGTGGTGGGCTCTGTGCTTGTTGCCCAGGCTGTGTGAAAACTGGGTGGGCATTGGTGGTGCAGGCCTGTTAGGGTGGCTCTAGGTAAACGGTCAGTAACTCCTTATTCTGAAAATATGTTTATTTGTAGTTGATGAAAGGTAAGGAGTGTATGTGTGTCGGGGGTGTCTTCCTGGATTTTTTTTTCTGTGAGACTGTTTTTGAATGGAGAATATAAATTTTCATAGCCGATTATATTTCTGACTTGATTAGATCCATTACCTGAAGTGGTGATTCACACTTCCCTTCTTCCGTGGGTTAGGAAATGAATGAGCCACTAGGAAAGTACCAAATTCTTCTGCAGTGGCCCAATTAACTCTTCAGATTATATACATAAAAAAATTAGGGGCCCTCGTCCACTGAGCCACATCCCCAGCCCTATTTGTATTTTATTTAGAGACAGAGTCTCACTGAGTTGCTTAGCACCTTGCTTTTGCTGAGGCTGGCTTTGAACTCATGATCTCCTGCCTCAGCCTCCCAAACCGCTGGGATTACAGGCATGTGCCACCACACCCGGCCAGATTACTTAGATTCTTAATGTAATAAAATCATTTCGGACATAACAAATGAACTGTATATCTAACTGAAAATAATCTAGTCTTGATGAGAAAAGTTGTATTCAGAAAATTTTCCACAAGGACTGTTTTCTTCATCCAAGAGACTCTTTCTTCAAAATAATGTGTGCTTTATCCTTTGGGCTCTGTTCTTCGGAGCATGAAGCAAACTATTAAGAGGTAACTTTTAAACCCATTCTTTAGCAAACTCTTCGATTTTTTTTTCTGTTGCAAGTTTCTACTGGCGAAACAGTCTCCTGGATTACAAGAATCAAGTTCCTCAATTGCAAGATGAATCTTCTGGCATTTCTTTTACAGAACAATCTCCCTTTGGTTTAAGGAGTGGAATTATTTGGAATTGTGAACTGGGAAGTTGGGGAAGGCTCGGTGGCTCGTGGGATACTGGAGGGTCTGAAGGAGGGGCCAAGGCCCTCTGAGCAGGTGGTATCTAGAGACAGGAGCAAGAAATAGAGAACAGACAAAGGAGCCAGGGGGGCAGGTGCAGGGCGCTATAATTGACAATGCCAGGCAGACTTGTCTCCCTCGAGAAGGAATTTAGAGGGATCATTCTATTCTCTTCCAGGTTCTCATTATCAGAAGTGAAACTTTCCCAGGCTTGTTGGCTTTATTTTTGTCCCTAAGTTCCTCCAGCTGTACAATTTCTTTCATGCACTGAATAATTAAATTAAAAAAAAAGTGGCTTCCTGACACAAGGATAAGTTATATGCTTTGGCCTTGATTGTGAGCCATTGTGACTTTTGGAAAATCATGTCAAGCCAAAGACAAACAACCTGCCCCCTCCCCAAACCCAGACAGACATTTTCCAGGGGACCAAAAAACATCTTGCTCTAACCAGAATATTAATAATAC